GCCATTTAATTTTTTTGAGTCTACATTCTCATCTGTGCAAAAATAGCTCTCCATCTTTTTAACAAGGCTGCTGTGATAATCAGATAATACTCCATAAAAAGACTTTAAAAAACCATAAAGCACTATACATTTGTTAAGTACTATTAATGAGCTTAAGAAAGTATTATCTATCTTTATGTAATCTTTCTACCTATATAGATTCCTAAGTTTTATCTCATTTATTTCTACTTAATTTGCTATTTTAATTTAATAGGATTAAGAATCCTTTTATGACTTACATTTATATAGCACTTTGTCTTTATTCCTTATAATCACCCTGTGAGGTAGGTGATAACAAGTAATATTATGTCCATTTTATAGATGAAGAAACTGAGGCTTAAAGAAATTAAATAGCTTGTTCAAAGTTACACAGGAAAAAAAAAATCCAGAGCTGTTTCCAAGTCCAGAGGGTAAGTTACCAGTGAAATATTGGATATTGTGTTAGGTTGATGATTTATACCCAATGTGAAAAAAGCTTTTTCACTGCATGATTTTTTTTCAAAACAGTAGGCTGTAGACAAGACACTTAGGTGATGAAAATGAATAATTCCATGGTCTTTCCACAGCTAAAACCATTCGAGAATCTCTTAAAAATAACTTAAAACAGTTTGGGTAAAGCAAGGTTCCCCCTTCTCCCTATTATTTGACAAAGTTCTAGAAATACTATAGAGGGGAAAAATACAATTAAAAAAACAGGTTTAAATATTGACAATAATAAGACAAAAATTATCCCTATCTGTAAATAATATGGTTGTTCAGGAAGCTCAAAAGAATTAGGTTGAAGAGATTAAGATGATTAATAACTTCAATAAAACAGGATAGAAAATAAATCTAAAACATAGCCAGCCATTTCAATACAGTAACAAATACTAAGAGAAAAAGATAAGAGAAATTCCATCTAAAATAATTATACAAATACATAAATTATCTATGAAGTAGCCTACAAAGATATGCATAGAGGTACAAATATAAATATAGTTACAAAACATTCTTTACCAAAATAAAGGAAAACAAATGATTGAAAACAACGCTCATGGTTGGGTCACGCCAATATAAACACTTTAAACTAAAATTATAGATTCATACTCATATCAATCAAAACTCTATCCAACAAAATAAAATAACAATAAAATTATTTAGGAACACCAAAAGGGCTAGAATCTCAAGGAAAATAATGAAAAAAAGTAGGAATGGAATGGGTACAGCATCACCAGACTTTAAATTATATTACAAAACAGAAATAATCAAAACTCTTTGGTACTGTTTAAAAAAAACAGACAAGTAGATCTTGTCTGTGGAATAAACTAAAAGGAATGACTAGAAAAGTAATAATTAAAAAAAAAACCCAGTAGCCAGGCTTTGATAAAGCCAAGAAGAAAAAGGATTAGGGAAACGAGATCAATTTCATGTAAATTAGGTTTATTTGGGCCAGTGTGTGTCTATGTGTTAAGACTTTTGGGACACTCTGTATGTAAGAACAAGTGCCAGTCCTCTTAGATAAGTAGTTAAAGGATTCGTAAAGAAGAATTATCAATAACCACATGAAAACATGCTCTAAACCACAAATAAAAGAAATGCAAATTAAACCAACTTTGCCATGAATTTACAAAGGTGACTCAAAAAATGGCAACAAGTCCATGTAGGAGGACTGTGATTGAGAGGCTCACTAAAACAGTTAGTGGAGCTATAAACTGGTCCAACTGTTCTGAAAAACAATTCAGAATTATGTGAGTAAAGTAACTAAAATGCTCATATCCTTTCACCTGGTGATCCTACTAATGGGCCTATACCCCAAAGAGGACAGTAATCAAAACAAAGTTCTAGTATATACCAAAATATTCATTGTAGCAATTGTGTGGGTTAGTAAAGAACTAGAAACAAAGTAGGTTCCTGTCAAATGATCAACTGTGGCATGTGACTGTTGAGTAATATTACCGTTCATTAAGAATGACAAACATGAGGAATTTAGAGAAACATGGTAACTGTATGAAATGAAGGAGAATGAAACAAGCAGATCTAAAAGAACATACACAATGCCCACAATAACGTAAATTAAAGGTACAAGTTAAAGCCAGCCAAGCTTAGAGCTGCTCTAACAAACAATCTTGGCTACAGCAAATGACTCATACCTTCTTTTCCTTGGTAAAGAAGAGTCAGGGGCAGAATGTTGCATTCATATTTGATTTAGTCACTGTATTTGTTACTTTTGCTTAACCCTTCTTTGTTACAAAGGAGAGTTCAATTAAAGAGGTGAATGCTATATCCAGAAATGACTATGATGTAAATATTAAAAAAATTAAACTTATTTTAAAAATAAAAGCTATATAAAAAATCTATCTATTCCATTAAAAAAAAAAGGTTCAATTTAACTACCTACACAGGAAAAGTCAAGCGGATGAAGGATGTCTATCGTCTAGACTACGACATACAGTTGTACAGAAAACCCAATAAGGGAACCCATCAATAAATGTACCTTGGAGAGATATTACACATGGACAATGAACCAGGACCAGAATTAAATGAGAGGGCTAGACTACTTTGGAGAAATGCACAGTACTCTGAATGTCCTAACATTTTTAATCTCAATATTCTTCCAATAATACTATATTGCCAATCATGGAATACCAGTCTGAAAGACTAAAGTTGCAGGTTACCTAAAGGGCAATATGGATACATGGTACGTATCAGTAGATGGCAATATGCTACCAATGCAAAGCTGCACAGGAGGAATGGTACAAAACATGTCAGAAATACGAATAACAAGAAAAAGAGATGAGTCCGTCATATAGTGAGCATGGGGATAATTAACAGTAGAGGCTGCATGGTCCAAATGATAGCCTTGAAATGTGAAAAGATCTAGAGAAAAAGGATTTAGTATGATGGGTGGATCCCCTGTGGAGGAAATGAACATATGTCACACATGATGGGAAGGCATGGATGGGTTTCAATCTGCACTCTTGGAGGAAGCTTTCACATTGATAACAGATTCCAAGATCAATGTGCCCTCCTAGCTTTTTAGGTTGAGAGCAGCTAATCACACTACTTGAATAAAGTGGTACAGAGACTGAACATATATAAACAAACAAGATTTTATACAACTCAAGGGCAGAAGAATAATAAATATTGGCTTACTATGTGTGTGCTACATGCTGGAAGTCAGAAAATTCTGTTAAGGTATTATCCAGACTCTCAACACATTGTATTTAGAGGTTGATATACAGATAATTATAATGCAGTAGAAAGTGTAAATCAAATCACTTCTGTGAGCTCCACGTGGACAAAGATAATTTTCTTTTTATCTCCCCTGGTTCCCAGAACAGCACACTGTATACAGCTCACATTTAGGGTTAAAAATTAATTATGTAACAAAGTTAACCCGATACTTAATCATGTGCATGGTAGTTATTGTGGTTTATGATAATTAAACATTTATATCATGAAATAAAATAATTAAGTCAACAAAACAAGCATTTCTAGGGTTAGCTGGAGGAAGAAGTGGTTGTGAGGAGAAAGAAGGATTTGTGCCCCTGGAGCCCCTTCCTGCCAAAGGGTTTTTGCTTCCCTCTCCCCCAGTATTTGTGCTATGAGGGGTGGGTACTGCCCTGCCTTAAGCCAAAACAGTCTCAGACCCCCAGCGTCTGTACTGTCTCATTTCCAAAGACTTGTCAGCTGCCAGGGTCTTTTCTGGGCTGCATGCCTTCAATTCAGCTCTCTGGGAAGAAAAGAAAATTAACAGTATTGAAGAGCTGATTTGGATGCTCAGAAAAGGAAAAGCTTCCCAAGATTTTTGGGAAGGGTATATGTGATGGGGTATATTTTCATCCTAGGGAAGTAAGATTTGGGGGGAGGGAGGGAGGCAGAGGGCTATGAAGGGGAACTGACTCCTGGGTAGAAAAAAAGAAGGCATCACAGACAAACTGGGTCTGCTCTCAAGTTCTGCCTAGAGTCAGGCCCCACCTTTGCCTTGCTGCTTCAAGTGCTGAGACAGGGAAAAGGTGAAGGGGAGCACAGAAGACAACTAAATGGTTTCACTTAAACCATTTCCTGTACTACCAACCAGGAGCTGTGGCTCCTCTGTATCAGATGCCCTGAGCTGCATGGACACGGCATCACTGGGAACCCCACCCACACGCCTCTGTAGCTCATGGTACCCACGAGGTCAAGAGATGGCAAAGGCCTGGTCTGCAAACCAGGAAGTGAAAGCTGGGAACATATTAAAATGTTTTGAAAACTATAATAGGAATTAAAAAAAAATACTAAGCCAATCTGGATCCATGGAAAAACCCAATGTGAACAGAAAAACTTCCCTTTAATGGGACACAATACTGTATTACTTATTATATGGAAAATAAATTTAAGTGTGCTGATCCAAAGAATAGGAAAAACAAACCAGATTAAATTTTACTACGAAATTTTGCACATATAAAATGATTATTTTAATAAACTTTTGGGCTTGGTTTGGAAAATGAGCTTAGCCCAAAGAGGCTAACATTAAAAGAGCTTTTAATTCAGAAATAGTATTGAGCCATGGCTTTTGCACATGTAAGTTTAAATTTAAACACAAACACATAAATCCAGCTTTACTGAATTACTTCCAGTACTTTTAATGCTTCCTACAAAAACATTATTTCAAACATTATTTTAAAAAAAGGACTTATTAGAGTATATGTCAGGATTTAGGATCGCAGAATTTTAGAGTTAAACAGACTCTATAGAAAAAAGCACCATCCCTTTCACTATATTGACAAGGAATGAGGTCAGGTGCTCACATCACTAACTTTCAATTAAAATCTTCCTTTAAAAAAACACCCCCCCAACTTCATTTTTCACTGAATTACAGAATAAAGTTCTGAATACTATCAAATAAAGGCTCTAAGAAAAAGACAAAAACTTAGCTATACATATATTAAAGGAGAAAAAAGGTCAATACACATACACTTTTTAAAACTTTTTTTTTTTACCTGTAATTGATCAGATGTACATGCACTCATCTCTGGTGTTATAAGGGGTGTTTGACCAATGGAAGCTATTTTCTCTGCAGCAGATAGTGGTTTCAATGGTTCCTTCGTGGGTTCTAACATACCCTAAAAAAATTATGGCAGCCATCAGCAAAAACTATGCAAAGGGTTGGAAGATGCTAAACACAGGATTAAGCAATAAACTACAGAAGGGAAAACAGGTCAGTTGGAGAATACTTCCAGAAAAAAGGCAATTTTATTAATTTGTTTCTAGAAATCCCTTTTAGCAACTATATCCACAAATTTTAAAATAATTTTAAGACTTCTGATCTCAAACAAGGTCTTTCATCACCAATTAAAGCAAATCTTCTCACAGGTACTTAATATTTTTCCCTTCTGTTATTACCTACAAGAAATAGCAATATAATAAAAAGATATCACTGCAGCCTGAAAACATATACAAAACTGGAGTGGGAGGGCTCACAATATATTCTATTCATGCTTGCAGGAATTCAACGATATTCTCAACTGATCATATTCTACACTTTAAAGTTCTTTTAGGATATTAATGATTTCCCCCAATGTTCTTAGAACAAGCTTTTCAACAAAAAAGGTTATTATTTTGAATAAAATTTACAAGGGTTGAACTAATCAAATAAACACTTAAACTTAATGTTTCAAATGAACTGATATGGTCTCTGGCTTACCCTTTTCCTTGCATTCAATTGTAACTTGAAAGGTAGAAAAGGATTCGGTTCAAACACATTCAGGCCAAAGTTTTGAGTTGTTTCTGAACCTAGTCTATGTCATTTGGGATTGGCCCAATTTTACTTAGGTTCTTGAACCTAGTCTATGTCATTTGGGATTGGCCCAATTTTACTTAGGTTCTTATCTTGTACTAGCATCACGTGGATTTCAGCATCAACAGAGGCTACCAGTTTGTAACACAAGTTACTCCTCTGGAATTTTAAATCCCTTCAACCTGGCTTTAACTGGCCTTTCCAGTCTCATTATACATTAAACCTCTTCATGCACTCTACGATCCAGTCAGACTGGTCTTCTTGCTGGTTCACTCCAACTTCTATCACTATACATTTGTACAGGCTGTCCCTCATGCCTAGAATGCATTCCCTTCCATACCTCCAACTCTTAAAATCCCTAGCTTCCTTCAAAGCTCAGCTTGAGTGCCATATTCTACATAAGACCTTTCCTGATTCTCCCTTTTCACCACTTCATATATTTATTTTATATGTTATACTTATAAAGGTACACATCTCCTTTATTACAATGTAAACTCCTTGAGGGCGAGGCTTGTTTTGCTTCTGTCTTTGTATCTAGAAGGCCTGGCATAGAACAGGCATTAATAAATGTCAGTTGACTGATTTACTGAATATGCTACTGGAGACCTTAAAAATTCTATTACATTCCTGTGGGAAAAGCAGAGCATACATATAGGATTGATGTTCAATTAGTATTCTGTATAAACATCTACACACCACCACCAAAAATTTCTTTAAAAAAATTTACACTAAGCAATAGAATATAGCCAGGTCCCAATTAATGCAAATAATGAATCCCATGGAATGACCACATTATTCACATTCATTACCACATATTTCCAATGGGTTGGAATCAACTGCCATATTTTACATAATTATAACTTCAGATAGTGTGAATTTGAATACATGTGACCACTTCATGAGATGCATTATTCACAGTAATCTAGATCTAGCTGTATATTCTGGAGGTTAGGCATAGTTCAAATACCTGGCAGCTAATCTACTCTCTGGTGATGAACCTCTCTCTTCAACTGGATAGAATAGTCCTAAGAGAGACACATGGTTCATTTTCTAGCCCATGTTTAAAGCCTTTCTAGCTCAAAAGATCCACCAGACCTTTTGCTCTAATGGGTACAGCCTTCTAGAACCCAGGGCCATTTCCATATCACAGAGAGGCAAAAGAATACTATTTTAGGAGAATAACTGTTCAAGCTGTCTCTAAAATGACAAAAATCTCAAGCTGCTAAGTCACTAATAAGAGATACTGTTCATTTTCACATAAGCTGTCAGGGGAATCTGTCCCTTAAGTGTGGCATAAGGAAAGGTGACTGACAAGTTTTAGGTGTTTCATCCTTATCAAAAGTACAAATGGAAGCCTTTAACTTAGCATCCAGGGACAATTTTGTTTTTAAAGGCAGTTGGGGTTAAGTGACTTGCCCAGGGTCACACAGCTAGTAAGCATCAAGTAGTTGGTCTGAGGCCATATTTGAACTCAGGTCGTCCTGACTTCAGGGCCGGTGCTCTACCTACTGCACCACCTAGCTGCCCCTGCCCGGGACAATTTAAAGGAAAGTTTATGGTTTATGTAATTATGTGTTACTTGTTCTTGACTGGGCTTTAATTTACCAATTACATTTACCAAAGAGTTACTGCAGTCTTAAAAACCCAATTTCTCATTTATTAAATACTCCCAGAGATCAAATCAATAAATATTTAGGGAAGTGGTCTATTGAATTTAAGGTACCCTGTGAGGTGCTCTGAAACAGAAATTCAGAAATCTAAGCCTTCTTTCCAGTCTTAGGACTTCATATGAAGAGGAAAGGAAAGAGAGAGCACAAGGAAACTTTCATACTGCCTGCTGTTAAAGAGTTACACTTTGTACTCTGTCATTAAGCATAAATGGTACAAGCCATTATATAGTCTATGAAATCTACTACTATTAAAAGTTTTCTGTTAATTTCTAGGAGAAAAGCGAAGCAGGCAAATCTTACTAATAACTCTACTCCTCTATCCCTCTACATCTGAAAAAACAAACAAGAAAGCTACACATATGCTTTCACAAATGTACACAAATGATTATCTCCTATACATGAAATTCTCAGTTCTTTCATGAGATTGTTAAAATCAGAATAGATTAAGTGTTTTCAGAAAGAATAAATTTAAATAATATTTTGAGCATCTATCATTAATTAATTAAATATCACGAGCATCTATGACAATGAGTGAAAATAACAATAACTACAATAGTTATTAACTATTAACTATAAATTACAACAACTAGGAAGAACAACTTTCACTAAATTACTTGATCCTCTCATAAGACAATACATCCTTCCTTCACAGGAGCAGAAAAGCCTCAAATATATTAAAATTAATGATATTAACAGCTGCCCAAATGTAAAAATATCAGACTGCCCCTTCCTCTAATGACTGTATAATTCATTTGAGAAAGATCTTTAAAGTGTAGTGTCTACAGAGAGCTACACCGAGTACGTTAGTCTTATTGATTAGTAAAACTATAAATGCACATGTGTATGTATATGTATATGTACACACACACATACATACACACACACACACACACACACACACACTTATACATTCAATTTCTTTTGTAAATCCAGTTTCATATGCTCATGGTTAAGGACTGTTATTTAAGTTTCATAATTCTACAAACAAGTTGAGTTCTTTACCTTAAGGTATTCCCCTACCCTTTCCGTAAGTGGGCCATAAGATTTTTCCTTTAGCTTAAAAGTTATTGGTAAGAGGGTTTAAAAAACATGTTGTTTTACACACAGAACTGTTTTGGTCATCAATAATTAATTCACAGACACATCAAAAAACATAGCAAACTAAAAAGTACTATTTAGTCCTTCATAAAGAAAGAATAATAATTCCTTCTGAATTATTCTGGACTGCCTGGCATATCTGGAAAACAGCAACAACAAAATAAGAAAATTCAACCAGTTTTAAGTGACTGATGGATCAATTTACAAATGTTCTCAACAGGAATCCATCATAACTATAACCTCAATACCAAAGAGTTGTGGTTCCCACATAATTTCCATAATAACACTAGTTTCTTAATACCAGGCTTCAATGTTGCTGTAGAGTTTCAATGGTGAATTAACCAAATGTAGCATTTTATAAAAAGATTAAACCCAATGTTTTTCTTGAAGACTTCAAGTAAACTTTATTAATTCACGCCTTTAAAATACGTTTATTTAGATACCAACAACAAAAAAGATAACATAAGGACCATCTTAATAAAGAGGCAGAAATGGGCTTTACTTTAAGATTAAAAGTATGTCTGCCATTTGCTTCACGACAGAAAGGAAGCAAAAGTTAAAGGTACTTCTGAAGTCAACAGAAAGGATTTTTTTCATACTTCCTAATTTCTGCTACAATTTAAAAGCTTCTAAGTGCTTTTTAAAACTGGAGACATCAAGAACTGAAGATTTATGAGGACATTTCCATACTTACCAGTCCTGCTGCATACATGGGCACTATAACAGGTTGCTTCTTATTGCCCGTAAAGAGCTACATGTGAAAGAGAAAGAACACACATTTAAAGAAGACTTTACCATACTCTTAAAAAACTTTTATTTTTGAAAGTGTTCAACTATCACTTATGTTGTACATTTAGAATTATATTAAGAAATTTTAAAATGACTTTCAGTTATTTTTTTAAACCAACAAACTCCTAAATAACAGAATTTTGATGCGCTGATGGCCAATTAAAAAAAAAGGGCAACATATCTCTTTAGGACTGAAAAAGGAAACAAGTAGTCACATTTAAATTATAAAGATGTTTCTTCTTGAGAAACTAATTCCTTATAGCTTAGTAGGGTTTAAAAATACATTCACCAGTTAAGGCATTTTTAATATGATTATCAGACTCACAATATTTCGTGTGTCGATTCCCAAGGAGCACAAAAGTTTCTTGTTGCTATGGGAGCCACCCCACTGGTATCTCAGGCCATATGCATCATGGATATCCTGTAGCTCTGTCCACACATCCAGTAGTTCCCTATGAACAATTGAAAGTCATCAGGATGAAGACAAGTTGACTCAGCAACTTTTACCAGCTACTGCAGTTATAACATGACTGATATATTATAAATTTCCTCTAAACTTGTGCCTATAAATGAATCAAACTTAAAATCGGGAAATAGTGCCCACAGAAGACAGAATACAATCTACTTAAACTTCATCAATGCATGAACATAGCAATTTATAAGAAAATGTAAGTTTTACAACATTCAAAATAACTTTCACTTAGGCACTGCCAAAAATATTTGAAAAACCATCATCTGCATGAAGTCATTAGTAACATATGTGGTCATTATTAACCTGATCTGATTTATATGTATAGTGATAGAAGCCAAGTTCTGGAGTTAGAGAGACCTGGGTCAAATCCAGTTTCTGATATACAACTAGATGACCATGGGAAAGTCACTTAACTTAATCTTTAAGTACCCCAGACAACTCTTTAACACTGTAGAGTTACAGAAAAGTTTTAAATCTGCCTTGGTAGAGGTAGTTTCCACACAGGGAATTTTCTGCCCCTACGAAATTACAAGTCCAGATCAAAGAATCTGTAACATAACTAATAGGAATTTAATTTAGGAAGGTCAAATTTTTAAAAATTATGACACCCTTACAATCTGACTAGATTTAACCTTATCTTGACTGAAATCGCTCTCTCCAAGTTATCAACCATCTGCTAATGGCTAAATCCAACAGCCTTTTACCAGTCTTCACTTTTGACACTCCTGATCACCTACTCCTAAAGTATTCTCTATCTCTTCTTCCTCCCTTCCACTTTTGTGGCTCTTTCCTAGTTAACCCCATACCTGTCTGATGATTCCTTTATCATGCATGTTCTTTGCATGTCCCTATTATGTGCATGTCCAAGGTTACTATCCTAGGCCGCCTCTCTCCCCTGGTAATCTCTCATCAGTTCCTATGGGTTTCATCATTTCTATACAGATAACTCCCAAATCTACATACCAATTCTCTTTCTACTATGCTTCAGTCCTGTATCTCCAACTACCTGCTAGACATCTATGCTTGGGATGTCCTACAGGCACCTCAAATCTCCTCCTCCTAATTTCCCTGTTTTCCAGGGCATCATCATCCTTCCATTCAATCCACATTCATAATCTGAATCACCCTTAACCTTTCATTCTCCCTCACTCCCCACATCCATTTCAGATGCCAAGTCTTTTATATCCTGCCTCCCATCTATTCCCTACAGGTAGCTAATAAGTACAGTGGATAGAGATCTGAGCCTGGAGTCAGGAAGTCCCGAGTTCAAATCTGACCTTAGAAATTTACTAGTTGTGTGATCCTGGGAAAGTAATTCTGTTGCCTTAGTTTCCTCAATTGTAAAATGAGGATTATAATAGCACCTACCTCTCAGGGTTGTTGGGACAGTTAAACAAGCAAATATTTGTTAAATTGCTTAGCAAGGCGTCTGGCACATCATAGGCACTATATAAATGTTTATTCTCTCCCATTCCCTTTTTCCATTTTCAGACTCTAAATCAGGCTCAAAAATCCTAATTGACTTTTTCTTGGACTACTGCCAACAGCTTTCTGATTGGCATCTCTGATCCCAGTCTCTCCCCTTTTCAATTCATCCTCCAGCCAGCTGGCAAAATCACCTTCCTAAAGCACAGGTCTGACAGTGCTCCTTCCTCGCTCAAGAATTTCTTGTAACTCCCTATTGCCTTTAGGATAAAATTCAAATTCCTGTTTGATATTTAAGGCTACCTTCAACCTATTTCTCTAATTTATTTCACATTACTCCTCATGCACTCCAACCAAACCAAGTACCTGTTCTTTCCAATCTATGACACTTCACCTCCTGTGCCTATGCCTTTGTTTCCTATGCCAATAGGAATGCACTTCCTCACTTCTGCCTCTCAGAATCCCAAGCATTCTTCAGAACTTAAGTTAAGCTGTCACCTCCTTCACAAGGCCTTTCCTGATCTCCTTAAACTACTATATAGTTTGTATTTACTTACATGTGTACACAATCGTATCACATTAGGAAAATGTATGCTTTTTGAGAGCACGGACTATTTCTGTTTGTCTTTTTTGTATGCCTAGCACAGTGCCTTACCTACAGTAGATATTTAATAAATACTTGCTGAATTAAATTAAAATTGTCAGTTACTCACCAATTTTCACCCAAAGCCTCTCTTGTTCTGATCTGTGTATTGCCTGCTTCTAGCAAGTGCTCCAGGGAAGTAACTCTTTCTTTAGTTTCAGGGACAGGTAAGGAAGGAAAACAGGCTTCAAATATTCGTTCAAGGCGGTTTAGCAATGCTATCTGCATCAAAACAACCCCCCAGAAAAATTACTTTCATTTTTCTAAATGTAAATATCTCAATTTCAAAAAGAAGCAATATTCAGTGTGAAGAATTTCAAATTATAAGAACCATGATCCCCAATCATGCTTGTTCTTTTAAGGTTACTTTTCTTCAAGTACCCTAGGTTGACTAAAAAACAAGACAAAACAAAAAACAAACCAAAAAAAAACCAGTGACAGAATTGTGAATGCTTTCCACAGGATTTTGTATTAGCTAAAAGGAATCTTGGGTCACTTTATCAATGAGGAAACTGAGGTCCAGAAGTAAAGTGGATACAAAGTCATACAGAGAGCAGAGATGGAATTTGAACTCAGGTTCTCTGACTTTAAAGCCAACACAGAGGCATCTGCTGGCCATAGAATAAAACTGAGTACATTCTGAACCAGATTAAAATGTTATGGGGAAATGCTTGACAAAATAAATAAAAATACAATGCAACATACAAAATATTAATTTGTAGTTTTCTAAGTTGATATGTAGCCCACAGGATCCCTTTCAATTTCAATTTGATAGCCCACAGCTCCAACAGATACTAGTTATATGACAGCTCTTGTAATACAACCTATTAAATGATGCCTAAGGTCCCTTATAGCTCTAAATCTTCTACTTTCATGATCCCTTAAAAACAGAAGACTCACATATTATTCTAATTGTTTATATTCTCTTTTAATATTATTTGTTAAGGCAAATGGTGAGGTACGTTGCATAGCAGTAATAGAGGAGAGAAAATAAAGTCTTATTATCAGAAAACCTGAATTACATAGTTTAAGATCTGTTAAGTACTAATGGGTGACCTGATACAAGTTCATTTTTATCTCTCTGCCTTAGATTCTTCATCTCTAAAATGGGAAAAATACTTTTGCATTACCTATGTTTAGGGTTATTTTGAGGAAATAATGTATAAAGAGTACTTTATGAACCATAAAGAGCCATGTAAATGTCAACCAATAATACCATTCTTGTGCCCTGGCAAATTCTTAAGTAGACAGCTACTATTTTTTCCCCTAACAAAACTGATGCATGTTCTGTAGTGTCCATTTACCAAGATTAAATGGGTAAATTTCCTGGCTTCTTACCTAAGTTTATTAAGTCAATTTAAATATCTATTTAGGTTTAGATGATTAACTCAGATTATTTCAATCCTAATAGTTTTATCTTATATGTGATTGTTTTGATTTCAATTGCACATAATATTACACGCAGCTCCAAACTGGAATATTTTGTCTGAAAATGAACTACTATGTAATACTACATCATTATGAATCTGAGTATTACCTTGTGGCAGGTCTACAATAGTTCTGTTAACATGGGCTTTTTTAACCCGTTAAGATAACATTTTTAATATTTCAATATGGGGAAACAATCTTCCTACAAATGGGGAAAACTGGACTTAAGATCCCTGGACTCATGCAACTTGAGCATGTCAAGAGGGTTAGGCGTTTACTCCCTTCGACAGAGGGACATGAAGTTAGCTCTAAAGGGATTAGATAACTTGTCTAATTGGAAATATGTTGCAGCCTTTGCTTCTCCTGGGCAAAATAAAGTAAACAAAAAACCACATATATATGGCTCTCCAAATAGTATTTTTATACATTAGAACTAGATTTCTCTAGTATTCCATATTCTAGTTCCCTCTCCAGAACAAGCAGAATGAAAAGCTGGGCATGACTACGTAGAAGAGAACGTGTTGGAATATATGGTTCAAGATTACGAAATTACGAAACACAGAAGTCCAAAAGCATATAGCTAACTCAGAGGCTTTATGCCTATACATCATAAATACTTTCTTCCAATCGATAAAGTATTCATTAAGTGCATACTATGTGCCAGGCACTGTTCTGTAGGGTGGACTAAAATGTTGAGACTTAAACCAGGGAGATCAATTAGAAGGCTATTACAATAATCTAAGGGAGGGTTTATAAGAACTAAGGTGTTAGAGAGAAGAGGCTGAATATAAGAATTGTAAAGCTCTGGCATAATGAATATCAAAGGGCAGCACCAACAAAAGAAAAGAAAGAAAAAAGCAAAGGAAGAAAGAAAGAAACTGATTAAATGTTGACAGGAAATGACTCATTATTGATGGAGGAAATCTGAAAAAGAATTACCTGTTGAAGTCAGACCACTGATTTGTTAGAACAAAAATAAAAATAAACACCAAATAATAAGAATAAAGATAATACAAATGATATGTTCTGCAATTACAAAAACTCAAACCTGACCAATACAAACAAGTTACCGATATAAAAAACCAGAAAATGGATACGGAAAGAGTTAATCTTGCAGGAAACTTGGAGAAATCTCAACTAAGCCAGATCATCCTAAGTGCATTTATAAATAAAAGGAGAACAAAAGATGAAAGTTGCAATTTTTTGTGATCTTTTTTTATTATTTATAACAGTGGAGTTACTACACTGGGAATTTCAATACTTTAGCCCCCAATGTTCTATCTGAAAAAATGAAAATAATTTTAAAAAATTAAATACAGAAGAGCAGCTAGATTGGATCAAGCACATGGAAAAGAAAGCTTACGGAACCAGGACTTTTTGAAATCACTGAAACATCCCCAACAAGTAATAATTCAACTTTTGCTAAAAATTTCTAGTAAGGGTGGAACCCCTTACCTCCCAAGACACTCCATTCCACTTTTGAGAACAGGTCTAATTATTAGGAAGGCTTTTTGTCACGCTGAGCTGAAATCTGCCCAGCTGCACCTTGAGTCTAATGCTCCTAATTCCGCCCTTCAGTGTCAAACAGAACAAATATAATCCATTATCTACACATTAGTTCTTCATATATTTGACAATTATATGTTCCTTAAATCTTCTTTTGACTTGGACTTCTGGAAGCCAAGATGTTGGAATAAGCAGTGTCGCTCTCACCCTCCCTTACTGACCTCTGAAAGCCCAGAAAATATCACCCCAGGAAAAACCCTGGAACAGCTGAGCCAGCAGAAAGATGGGGTACAGCAGTCTTGTAGCCCAGGAAGGCTGGGGGGTTAATGGGAAAGGCCCCTCTTGTTCTAGGGGAGGGGGAGCAGTAGAGGACAGGAAGCATCCCAGCAAGCCAGCAGCAAACCCCACCTCAGCAAACCAGGGGGAGATCCTGAGCCCAGAGTGGTGGAGCAGGCAAGGGCCAACACCAGGACTCCTGAGTGCCTCAGCACAGGCAGGGGAACCAGTAAACACCAGCTTGGAAAACCACCACATGGGCTGGGGTTCTCCAGCAGCCAAATCTCTCAGTGTTTCAGCACCACTCCAGGCTGGCAGACATCCTCTAGCAGCCAAACACTTGAGTGGTTTAAAGAAGTCCAGGTGAGCAGGCAACCCCCAGGTGCCAGACTCTCCACCTCTACCCCAAGAGCTCCAGTGCTGCTGACCCCAGTTCAGCACCAGATAAGGTACCAGACACCTACAGCCTCCAGTTGCCAGCACCTGAAGCCCCAGCACACAAGGCCAGTGACCAGGTCCCAGTTCCCAGCACAAGAAGCTTGGGTCAAGTCCTTAAAAAAAACAATTGGCCAAATGGAACAGGAGGCACAAAAACCCACTGAAGAGAAGTCCTTGAAAAGTAAAATGGGCCAAATGGAAAAGGTGGTACAAAATCTAATAGAAGGAAACAATTTGTTAAAAATTAGAATTGGGTAAGTGGAAGCTAATGACTCTATGAAATATCAAGAATCAAACAGAAACAAAAGAATGAAAAAATAGAAGAAACATAAAATACCTCATTGGTAAAACAACTGACCTGGAAAACAGATCCAGGAAAGACAATTAAAAAATTATTGTTCTACCTGAAAACCATGATGAAAAAAGAGCCTGGACAGCATCTTTCAGGAAATCATCAAGGAAAACTGCCCTGAGGTCCTAGAACCAGAAGGCAGAATAGTCATCGAAAGAATTAAACAATCACCTCCTGAAAGAGATCCCAAATTGAAAATGCCAAGGCATATCGTAGCCAAGTTCTAAAGTTACCAGGTCAAAGAGAAAATACTCCAAGTAGCCAGAAAGAAACAATTTAAATATCATGGAACCACAGTCAGGATTACATAGAACCTTGCAGCTTCTACATTAAAAGATCAAAGGGCATGGAATACCATATTCCATAAGGCAAAGGAGCTTGGATTATAACCAAGGATCAACTACCCAGTGAAACTGAACGTAATCTTTCAGGGGAGGAGATGAACATTCAATGAAATGGGGGACTTCCAAATCTTCCTGATGAAAAGACCAAAGCTCAACGGAAGATTTGATCTTCAAACACAACATTCAAGAGAGGCATAAAAAGGTAAACAGGAAATAACAAGAAGTTATTAATAAGAGCAGACTGTTTGCATCCCTACAAGGAAAGAATGACACTTGTAACTCTTGAGAACTGTATCATTATTATGACATTTAAGAGGGGTATACATAGACAGTGGGCATGGGTATAAGTTGACTTTGATGTGATGATAAAAAATTTAATTAAGTGGTGAAACGGAATTGTTCTGGGAGAAGAAGAAAGGAGGAGGCAGACGGGTAAATTATATCACATGAAAAGGCACACAAACCTTCTATAGCAAAGAGAAAGAAGGGAGAGAGATGAACATTGTTTGAACCTTACTCTCATCAGATTTAGCTCAAAAAAGAAATAACATCATCAGTTAGGTATAGAAATCTTATTTACCCTGTAGGAAGTAGGAGAAAGGGGAAGAAAAGAAGGGCCAACAGAAGGGAGGGCAGACTGAGGGAGGTGGTGGTCAAAAGCAAAATTCTAGTGAGGAAGAAAAGGGAGAAAAGAGACAGAAAAGCATAAACAGGGGGGAACATAGGATGGAGAGAAAGACACAGATTGTAATTATGAATGTGAATGGGATGAACTTCCCCATAAAACAGAAGTGGATGGAGGAGTGGATTAAGAACCATAATCCTACAATATGCTGTTTAAAAACCTGGAAAGACATATATGAACTGATGCTGAGTGA